GGTTCTTCTTGTCTTTTCTTGAGTACTTAGCATCTCGTGACTTAAACCAAGTTTACCAAAGAGACCAGGATTTAACTAGACATCTCAGTGCTTGTTTCTCTTCCTTGTTAATAATAGGTCATCGGACAAATAAGCAGAGTGCTACAGAGCCTACCCGTAAGCCAGGGATTTTGAAACTTCAGCCTGCATCTCAGCCAGCTGTAAAGCTTATTAACCTGCACTCACTGGGCAGAACTCCCTGAGATTCTCGTTTACTAGATGTGGATAGGGCCTGAGAATGTGCATTTCTAACTCAGTCCTGGAGATGCTTGGCAAATTGTGAAGTTCTGTATAAATGTTAACAATTGTCACCATTCATTAGCCTAAATTAATTCATAGGCATCCTGCTTTTCTAGTAAGTTGGAAGGAAACTGAAATCAATGGCCTAGTAGTTGTGAGAAGGCACTTGAAAAGTCCTGCTCGTCTGTAGAGGGCCCATTCAGCAAGAAAGACCGCAGGCCCCATTCCCGGGACCTCCCGGAAGGGCTGAAGAGGGGAATAGCCAGAATTTAAGCCATATCCTCATCAACACTTATTGCTTATCAGCCATGGTGTATCTTGGATAAATGTCCATCTATTCCTTTACCTACTTGTTGATTGAGTGCTTTTATGAGTTATGAATAAATTTATTTTTATAAATAAATTTTCTTTATTCTGGATACAAGCTCTTTATTAGATATATGATTGCAGATATTTAGCTGTATTTCACTTTCTTTTGATGGTATTCCTTCTCAATTTTGATGAAATCTTGTTTTTTATATATATATTTTTCCCTTTTGGTTGCTTGTGCTTTTAATGTCTTATCTAAAAAATCATTTGTTACTCCAAGATCACAAAGACATATTCCTATATTTTTCTCTAACAGTTTTATAGTTTCCACTCTTACATTTAGGCTTGTGGTCCATTCCAAATTAATGTTTGTATATAGTATGAGGTAAACTCCCAGCCTTACCCTTTTTCATGTGGATATCCAGTTTTCACCCATTATTCACAAAGTTCTCTATGCCCGGTGCTATTCTAGATTCTGGGGGAACAGAGGTAAGTAGAACACAGCTGGTGCCTCTCGGAGAGCTTACCATCATTGTGGGGGATCACATACAAACAGAGCAACGACATGGGGAAATAATGTGTGTGTGATGCTTAGCACTGTGCCTGGCCCTTGGAGTGTGTATAGCAGATGGTGGCTGCTACAATAATCATAACATGTACCAGTGTGCGTATTAGAAATGCCTGCGGAGAGGTATGTTCAAAGTGCTGGGCAGGAGGGAGTGACTAATTTTTCTGTGTCTCAAGATGGTCTTCACTTGGGGCCATCCCAACCCCTTCTGGGGCCCAGGAAGAGAAGGGATACAGGGAGATAGGTCTCCCAGAGGCCAACCTCTCTGAGAGAGGAAGGACCTCAGGTATGTGTGTCACGGGAAAATCCAGCTTTCTTGTCCCTGTGAGTGTCAGCTCCCAATAGGGCAGGGCTATGGGATTGCTGATTCCTCTTCCAGTCTGTGCCTCAGAGAGAACGACTTCTTCATTGGTTTGTAGATCTCTACAGGCATTTGAAGGAATCATAAAGGCTGCCCGTGGATTACAAAATGTTTGTAAATAGATTACATGAGTATACTGTCTTAATGTTATAAAATTAGGACTTAAAATCTCTATTCCTTGGTGATCACTTAGTGTGTCCTCAAATTGACCTTATAAAGCACAGACCAATGGTAGACTTTCACAAGGACATTACGGTATTTTGTGTGAAACATCATAAAATGTTAATTCGTATGAACTAATCTCTTAATGGCAGGAAGTATGCTGTATTACATATATTCCAGGCTCTACATTACAAAAATTATCCAATTACAGGCAATGATTTTAAGGAATCACCTTTTCAAGTTTTTTTTTCATTATAGTAGCATTTGTTCTGTCATCTGCTAGCACTTGTTAGCAGAAAAGTGTGCACAGGTGCCGTCAGTGTTAGAATGCTGTGTTGGAGGAGAAACCTTAAATTGAGCACATTCTAATAATCAACATAATCTATATTAAGCTACAAACCCCTCCAATTTAGTTGGGTAGGATGCAGTTGTTTCAAAGAAGGGATTTCAGAATCACTGAAACAGAGTTTAAACTTTAATTAGTTGAAACACATTGTACTTTATTAAAAAGTAAAGGTTTTAGTGCCTGGTTTTAATGTCGTATATCACATCTAGTATGGATTTCATTCTGTTTTAGTTCAGTTCATCAGGCACTTGCTGGCTGCCTGGCATATGGAAGGTGCCCTGTCCAAGTCCTGTGTCCGGAAGGAACTTATGATCCGAGGGGAAATCCTGGTCCAGTAGAGGACACACGCGTTGTCAGTTACGAGAAACAGCAAACCGTGTGGTAACGACTCTAATGGAGTTATCAGGGGCTTAGAAACCCCGGTCAGGAGAGGTTGGTTCGGATTCAGAACAGGGAACATCTGGGAGAGCTTTCTCGAGGAACTGGCACGTGAGCTGGAACTTGAAGGGCCAGTGGAGATGCAATCAATGAGAGAATGAGACTGTGTGAGTGAAGACTTAGAAAGTGGACGTGCAGGAAGTTGAGGTAACTTGGGATATAGAATGATTACAGAATGTAGCAGGGCATGCAGTTAGAAGGATAGGAAAGAGCCACATTTTGCAGTCTTGATAATACCAAACTCATGAGTTTGGCTTTGATTCTGTGCACACCAGGGAGCCATAGAGGGTTGCTGAGTAGGGCAGTGGCATGATCAGATCAGTTTGGGAGAAAGTCAAAGGATAGGTTGAAGGTGAAGAAAAAACTACAGACCATTATTGAATGATAAAAATACCATCTTTTCAATAGAAACCCCAGTAGGTAGCTTTCTTGTGATTCGAAGTTTTTGAAGTTAATGTATTTAAATTGCAATGACCAAGCAAAAGCTTATAAAAAATAACACTGATAAAGCACGAACTTCTTTTTTTTCCTTGCAAAAATAACATCCTAGATTTTTTCCTTAAGTATTTCTCAGCCAAGGGAAAAAGACACCCAGATTTTCATTTTAGAAATGACCAGGAAATGTGTTTATCAGAAGATGAAAACAAACCAAGATGAAGCAGGACTGTTATGTAAGACCGGGGGCCTTGGTTAGGACTGAACCCAGTTACCTGGGTTCACAATCCAGCTCCGCCATTTCTGAGTGGCTGTGTAACTGCAGGCATTTTACTTAACCACTCTGTGCCTGTTTTTTCATCTGTAAAATGGGGGTTATGATTGTACTCAACTTGGGGTCGTTCATGAGGATTAAATAAATCAGTACATGTGAAGTGCTTTGAATAGTGCCTGGCACATAGAGCTCAATAAGTGTTCATTATTATTATTATTCAGTTGTGGGGCAATAATAATGAACTGCCCATGACACATTACGAAGTGCTTTCACACATCCCCTAGGCCATTTGAGCTCCAGAATCACCTTCTAAGTTCCATTTTATTGTGCTCACGGATTCTGTGAATCAGAAATTTGGACAAGGTACAGTAGGAATTGCTTATCTCTGCCTTGCAATGTCTATGTCAGCAGCAGGAGACAACATGAATGGGTTTGGAGGATAGAGCTGTATCAACTGAGACTGCAGATTCACTGCCAAGGTGGCTTCTTTGCTAACCTGGCTGGCACTTTGGTGGGATGGCTGGAAGGCTGGGCTTAGCTGGGACTGTTATGTAGCACCTGCAGGTGGCTTCTCCATCGTGGTGGCCTAGCCTTCAAAGTCCCACAACAGACACTTCCCTGTTTTCTACTGTTAGAGTAGTCACAATTCGCCCCGACTCAAGGGAGGGAGATACAAACCACACCTGTCTGTGGGAAGCCTATAAAGAATTTTGGGAGCCCTGGCTGGTGTAGCTCAGTGGATTGAGCGCGGGCCTGCGAACCAGACCATCGCGGTTGATTCCCAGTCAGGGCACATGCCTGGGTTGCAGACTGGTTCCCTACAGGCCAGTTCCCAGCAGGGGATGCACAAAGGGCAACCATACATTGATGTTTCTCTCCCTTTCTCCTTCCCTTCCCCTCTAAAGATGAATAAATAAATTTTTAAAAAAAAGAATTTTGGGGAATGTTTTAAAGTCACCATACTGGTATTTTTCCCTGATTCTAGAGGAGAAGATTGAGAGTAATAGAGGTCCAATGACTTAACAAGGGTTGGTTGCACGGATAATTGAAATGGTTTAAGGCCGTAGGGGTGGTGAAAGTTTGAAGGAGAAAAAGGCTTCTAACCTAATTCTTCTGACTCCCAAGTTTTTGGTCTTTAATTAGACTATCCATCTTCCTTCAGCTTAGATATACAGTTGACCACTGAATAGCACTGGTTTGAACTTCATGGGTCCACTTACATGTAGATTTTTTTCAATAAGCACATTTGGCCCTTCATATCCATGGTTTTTGTATCTGCAGATTCAACCACCTACAGCTCAAAACCAGTATTTTTGCAATCCCAGTACTATTTCAATCCACAGTTGGTTGAATACATGGTTGCAAAGGGCTGACTGTAGAGTCAGAAGTTATACACAGAGTTTCAGCTGCACAGGGGTCAGTGCCCCTAACCCCTACATCGTCCAAGGTTCAACTGTACTTGCTAATATGTGAAAGTTAAAAGAAAAAAAATGTAACTGACTTTGTATACAGGGTAGTCAAAAGTAGGTTTACAGTTGTGAGTGTGTGAAACACAGAATTAATAAAGCAATTGTAATCATCATAATTCCATGTCTTTTCCATACAGACAGCTGTAAAACTACTTTTGCCAACCTTGGATATTAGGTAACTTTCCAGAAAAGAAACAGAGATGTAAAAATATAAGGTTTGCATTTATATAAGCTTGCACACAGACTTGCATGGGTTCAGTCCTGAGATGAGTCAGAAAGCAACTTTGTATAATTCTCTCCTAGGGAAGGGTCTTTAAAAACATCCCAGATGCTTAACTATGACTTCATTTGTTCTGTAGGAAAATCTCACTTGGCCATTGTCCAACGAGTGAATAATGAGGGAGAAGGGGACCCCTTCTACGAGGTGATGGGCATTGTTACGCTGGAGGACATCATAGAGGAGATCATCAAGTCAGAGATCCTGGACGAAACTGACCTCTATAGTAAGTGCATGGCCTTGGCTATTGTCCAAGGTCATCTTGTTTTCCTGTGATGCTCAGAGCTGGCTTAGCTTGATACACAGTGAGAAAGAGGGTCATGCCAAGCCCATGCATTGCCATGTGTCAACCCCCTCATGCCAGGTGGCGGCATGGCAAGGTGCCCTGGCTCGAATTACCCGAGTCCCTGAGAAAATGCTAGGTCAGTGATTTTCAACCTTCTTCATCTCATGGCACACTCATTACTAAAGTAATTACTAAAATTCTGCAGCACACCAAAAAATATATTTTGTTGCTGATCTGACAAAAATAGTTATAATTTCAATTCATTTACATTGGATGGCTATTGTTGTATTTGCTCTTGTCATTTTTTTTATTTAACAGTCTAAGGGGAAAGAAGTCAGTGCCTCTGACTAAATAGTCAGGTATTGTATGTTTTAAAAATTCTTGTGGCACACCGCTTGAAAATCACTATGCTAGCTACAGTATTTTGCCATGTGTAATGCTCACTCTTTTGCCCAAATTTTTTAGGGAAAAATAAGGATGTGCATTATATGTGGGTAAAATTATTACATACCATGGGTACAATAGTGGATATTATCCTGTGTATAATATGCACAAAACCACAGGTGCACATTATACACGGGAGTGCATTATGCTGGGCAAAATATGGTAAACGTTTATCAGGAGGGAACCTCCAGGAACCAAGACTATGAAAAGGAGACCTCCTGGCCTTTGAATGAAGAAAGAACTAAAGGAAACAAAATACACCTTGGATGGCTGCTCTGCCCTTGTGTCTGTTCCCTGTGTTGGCCTGTTTGGTCTCTGTCCACCTCTGCAGACCCCAGCATGCCCTGGGGTTCCACTCGAGAGCCTGCTCACACCAAAACACCCCGTGCAGTGCCGACTGTCCTGAGATGGTGCACTGCCACCTGAGACAAACCTTGAACGTCCCTCTCACACACTGCTCTTCTCCCTTACGCATCTTCAGCCCTAACACCTGGTTTCCCCTTCTCCTCCCTTCCCACCCCTGGCTCCTGTCCCCGCTTCTGTCCCTTCTCCCTTCTTTCTGGTCTCCTCTTCCTCTTACCCACTACTCCTCAGGAACAGTATGGACTCCTCTAGACAGCTAATGAGCACTTTTAGTTACTGAGCCTTATCAAAGCTTTGGTTGCAAATGTTACAGACAGCAGACAGCGCTTTGTCTGTAGGGTGGGAGTGTTATCTAAATCCATGGGAATCCTGCCCTGGCTGGTGTAGCTCAACAGATTGAACATGGGCTGCGAACCACAGGGTAACCGGTTCGATTCCTAGTCAGGACACGCGTGGTCCCTGGGTGGGAGCCACGTGAGAGGCAACCACACATTGATGTTCTCTCCCAGTCTTTCTCCCTCTCTTCCCCTCTCTCTAAAAATAAATAAATAAACCATGGGTGTCCTTAGGACCAGGAAACTTCCTCTGAGTTTCCCCTCATGGTCCAGCAGTCCTTCTCCCCACAGGTAACCCATTCCAGACCCCTGTCCTTGGTTTGTAGAAGCAGCCATTCAAAAACTAGCTCCCAGTAGAAAAAAACTTTGATACTGTAAGGCAGTGAGCAGAAAGAATGCTTCCCCTTTGGACTAAGAAGAGGTCTCACTTAAAAAATGGCCCGGTCTTGACAGAACATACCAGTGTGTCACAGTGTCTGCTGTTGCTGTGATGCCAGGCCTCTCTTCCTCAAAAAGAGATTGACCTCGTCCTCCCCCATTCCCCGCTCCCCTCTCCCTTCTCCACCTCTGCCCCTCACTCTTGATTTAGAATTGCAAGTGTCTCCATAGTTATATTAGTGAAGACATTCACACTAAAGTGGTAGTGGCTGATAGTAGGGATAGTAGTATAAATGAGTAACCTCCTCTTGAGGCATTCGTTTTAGCAACCTTAGTGTTCTAAGTACTATTAAAATAAAAGGAATGAAGAAAGAGGTCAGAGAAATGATTCTCTGTGATGAAATGTTTAGTGGCATCCTGATGGAGGAGGGAGAGGAATGATTAAGCAAAAACATCCTGCAAATCAGAAGGTTGCTCACAGATGAGAGCAAAAGAACTGGCCTAGCCCTTGGCCGGGTGGCTCAGTTGTTTGAGGCGTCATCTCGTACAACGAAAGGTTGCAGGTTCGGTCCCCAGCAGGGCATGTATGGGAGGCAGCCAATCAACATTTCTGTCTCACATCAATGTTTTTTGCTCCCTCTGTCTGTCTTTCCCTATCTCTCCCCCCCCCTTCCTCTCTTTACAATCAATAAACATATCCTCAGGAGATTTTTAAAAAAGACTGCCCTGTACAAATACTTGCTACTCTCTTGCTGAGCAATTGATTCTCTTTCTAAAAGAGAGGGTTAGGATTTTCCTGCCCTTGTAAATAAGCTTCTGGCACGGTTCCTAAGAGCTCTGAGAAGTCCAAGGAGCCAGGAATACAGTGTTGCTTCTCACTTGACCCTGACCCACAGGAAAGCTGGCTCTGGATCTTGCCACTGTTGCAACCTGAGAAAAAGGAGTGTTAAAGCAGGACCCAGAGTCCAAGACAGGTTCACAGAGAGCAGCACAGTGGAAGGGCGCATCTCCTTCTAGAAGGAGACCCAGCCGATGTGGCTGAGGTGAGCACCACAAGGAGGGGGAGAGTCCAAGACAGACAGATTCTGAGCCCTGGTTCCCTGTTTCTGGGCTTCATTCCCTTTAATATCCAAGGGGTCCGCTCAGCTGCACTGAAGGTCCCCCGCAGTCCTGTTTTCTTCTAGGCCAAGCTTGGAGAAAACCTGAACTTCTTTTCCTCCTCCCCTTAGTACAGGTGAGACTAACTGGAAGTTTCCAAATTTTACTCAAAACTAAGAGAAAGCAAAAGACAAATGACTAAATAAAGCATTTTGTTTCTCCCCCGAAAGTATTTTTTAAATAAAACTTAAAAAAAAAACAGAAGAAAGAAAATAATTGGATACAGCAAATTTCTTAAACAATGACCACAGGCTCTCCAAAGTTCCTCCAGGTCCCACCCAGAGAACATGCCTCTGCAGGTTATAGGGCTGTTCCCTTTTCCTCTCCTTTCTTCTTCCTTTTATTTCCTTCAATTCCCTCCCCCTCGAGGTGAGGGGCCAAGGTTAAACCAGGAGAATTGTGAATGGGAAGAGGAGGTGACCACCCGCCTCCCTTGGGTGGCATGCCTGAGTTCTGCTCAGAGCGTGGTCAGAATCAGCAGGAAGAGACCAGGCGAGTCCAGCTCTCAGGACAGAAGCAGACAGAGGCAGAAAGCCCCTGGCAGTGCCAAACCCCTTGGTGCTGAGAATGCAAGTCCCTGAGGTTTGAATGCCTTTTTGTACGTGCTTCACAGATCGTTTCTGGTTGGAGGCTCACAATATCAATAACTGCACAAGACGGACAGAGGAGTTATAAATTATTGACCTTTTTGTATAGATTAAAATACACGAACATTCTGATTCTTAGAGAGTTGCACAGCGTGTAAATAGGGGAGCCCGCTCTAGAACCGTGACCTTGGGAGTCACGGGCCAGCCTCTCCCCCTTTCCACCACTCACCACCTAAGTGTAAACAACACTGAGCAGATTACAGCACCTTCCACCTTCTGTCCCTTATGAACATCCTTCCACTCCCTGTGAGGTGTTGTAATGTCAGCTACAGTTGACACTTTGCAGAAACCCAGGTGGTCTCAGAGGATCTGTCTGTCTTAATAGAAGTCTGGGAAAGCCTTCAAAAACCAACAGTGATTCTGAGATCGTTGCAATCTGTCCCCTGTGATCCGCAGCCGACAATCGGAAGAAGCAGAGGGTGCCACACCGGGAGAGGAAGCGGCATGACTTCTCCTTGTTTAAGCTTTCTGACTCGGAGATGAGGGTAAAGATCTCCCCACAGCTTCTGCTGGCCACGCACCGCTTCATGGCCACAGGTATGACTGCCCACCCATGTCTCTACCCCAGGCAGGTAAGCCAAATCTGGAGGCACCAGCCATTTGTAACATTTTGTGACCTAATTCCAATGTGAGGCTGAGAACCGCTGTTCCAGGAGAGGCGATCGCCTTAGGCAGGGTGACAGGGTGCCACTACTGTCAGTTCCAGCCTGGCCTGGCCTTCTAGGGAGGGAGAACAACTCAACTCTGCTCGTCTCTCAAGGAAAAAGCTAAAGAAACCGCTGCTGCACTTTTTCCTTCCTCCACTCACCTGCTAGTGGGAGACAGAGGCCGGCCTCCGTCCTCTAGGAGTTGGGGTCCCAGAGGATTTGTGGGGGAGGAAAAGGCACTGGCCTACACATCAACAAGGCCCTGGAGTCCAGTATCCTCCAGAGGCTGTATAGGCCTGTGAGGTACGACTTCTAAAATACAGAAGTGGACTGTGAATCTTGGGCTCTGTAGGAAAAAACAAAGTGAGAGGATCAAAAGCTAAACTTGCGAACAAGGTAGAGTTTGTCCTTAAGCCCTCTGACCTTCTCATCCATGCCTAATTAATATGCTGACCAGGAGCACACCCGTTACGAAGTTCAGTGTTTAATTAATCCGGTGTATGCTTATTGAGTATATAATGAGTACTAGTACCATTCCAGGTGTGAAAAACTAGAGAAGTTTATGTTGCAGTTCTTTAGAGTTTTCAACATGTCTGGTTCTGAATACAGATTTCTTTTAACTACTGACTGATTTTCTAGAGCAAAGCAGCTATATCTTTTCATACAAAAATATTAGAATTGATATAATATTACATAATATCTGTTAATATATAAATTTGATGCAAGGATGCTCCACACTGTTGAGCATATATCACTTAAATAATTACTATTTCTGTTAACTTGAAATTTCATTTCATTCAGGTGTACACCTCTGAAACCATCACCACGATCTATGCTATAAATATATCCATCACCTCCAAAAGTTTCCTCCAGCCCCTATTTATTATTATTTTTGTGTGTTAACAGAGGATCTCCCCTCTGAGCAAATTTTTAAGCACACAGCCCAGTATGGGTCACCGCAGGCACCCTGCTGTGCAGTAGTGCTCTAGGGTCATGCATCTGGCAACGCGGAAACATTGTATCCTTTGACTCACTGCTCTGCTTGTCCCCTTCCCAGTACCCGGCAACCACCCTTCTACCCTCTGCTTCTTTGAGCGTGATTATTTTAGATTCATCATGTAAGCGATATCACACAATGTCTGTCCTTCTGTGTCTGGTCTGTCTCACTTAGCACAATGTCCTCCAGGTTCATCCATGTCCTCACACTTGGCAAGATTGCCTTCTTTTTTTAAGTCCATATGCAACTTTAAATAAAATCAAGTAGAAGATTATTTACAAAGATGTCATTTCCAAAATGGTGACCTGTTTTTCCCAAGGTGCCAGTGCAGGGACGTGTATCCCTAGGGGGAATGGGGGTGCACACTTGGGTGTAAGAACCCCCCACCCCGGGGAGTCACAGGAGGAGCCCTTCCAGCTGGGCGCCTGGAGCGCAGATGGAGGTCGGCTCTAGACACGTGCCCTGGTTGTGCTCACTCTGACTTTTCCCAGCTGCCAATTCCTCCTGATTCCTACTCTCCTCTAGAAGTGGAGCCCTTTAAGTCTCTGTACCTTTCGGAGAAAATCCTGCTCCGGCTCCTGAAACATCCCAACGTGATCCAGGAGCTGAAGTTTGATGAGAAGAACAAGAAAGCCCCAGAACACTACCTCTACCAGCGCAACCGCCCCGTGGACTATTTTGTGCTGCTTCTCCAGGTGAGTAAGAAAGGTAGAGGCCCTCTGAGGGCAAGACGAGGGCATCCCTAGGCTAGAGAGGAATGGTCTTGCCTCCCCAGTTCCAGATCGCAAGGTTCAGCTGGGTGCCTTGGGAGCAAGGCCAAGTGGGGTGGGTGATTGTCAGTGACCCGCAGAAGGAGCCCAGTATGACTGGTCGGTGTCCTGGGGTGGGGGTGGGGGGATCCTGATGACGTTTAGTCTGACCTCTCAGGGAGGTTTGTGGTGGGGTGCAGCGGGTACCTCTCCAGCAGAGGGGTTTTGTGACCGAACTGCCAAAGCCGCCATCCTGTAGAATCCCTAACACCTTCTTGTCTCTGCTTGGACATGCCCAGAAGTGGAATTGTCCTGTGCATTCTCCCAGACTCCAGACACTTATTTCAAGCTTTTCCCTCTGTCTCTCTGAAATCTCATCTCTGACTTCCACCCACTGGTCCTTGCTCTCCTCCCTGGAGGTGCACAGAACACATCCATTCTCTCTGAAACAACTCAGCCCTTGCAGTTCCTTGACTCTCCTCCTTAAGAGACCAGGAAGGAAATCAGTAACTGAGAGAAAGAGGTGCAGCAACTTCCCCGCAGTCACAGAAGTGCAGTCACTTTCTGCCCTGCGTGGCCAGATAGGCCTGGAAGTGGACGGCAGGCCCAGTTCCCGCACTGGACGCTGCTGGCTCCACTGTCATCTCTATCCCCGTTCTGTCTCTTCCCAACCTTATGAACCCTCAATACAGGGATTGTCTTAAAATCTTAAACTCGCAGTAACTTACAAGTGGCCTCTATTTTATCACTGTCCGCCTGCCGTCTGTCTGCTCCGACCCGGTCGTGTGCCTCCCGCCCATCCTTCCAAGTAGCCTCACGGCGGCCTCCCTTCTCCAAAAATGGAGCCCGTTCTTCACTGTTGGAAATCAAGAAGTGTTCTGTCGCATTTTTTGAATAACATAATGAACCTCTACATGCTACTGTCTTATGCTTAATATAAACTTAACCATTTTCAAATCAGAGTTGGAGGAAGCAAAATGTAGTGGCAAGAATGTAAATCCAGAAATTAGAAAGATCTGGCTTTAAAATTCCAGTATCGCCACTTCCTAACTAATCTTGACCAAGCTGGGTAAGCTCCCTGAGACTCCAAGTTGATTCGTCTGTAAACTGAGAGGGAAAGCAGCGTGGGCCTCATAGGTTTTGGTGTGCGGTGCATGGAACACAATGTCCGGCCCATAGACACACTATATGCTGCACGTAAGCCGTCACTAGTGGTGACGAATTTAAACAAGCTTCGCGCAAAGTCAGATTTTATCTCAGCCAGATTTAGGCATGGTCTAAATGTCAGCCAAACCAGTGGGATAGTTCACAGGGCCCGGGGCCTGGACCTGCATCACGGAAGGGCCGTCACATTATGCAAGGAGAGCTTGCTTAAGGTTATTCATGACTGGATGCGGCTTAATGAACTAAGCAGTCAATTTACTGCAAAGGGCTGCTGAAGTTAGAGGTACTATTTCCAAAACGTAAACCTGGATGGAACTCACATTTTCCTCTGATAAGATCTTAAGTCCACTTGTTATCCAGACAGAAGCTTAGAGTTGTTGTTAATAAAATAGAACTGAAAGTGCGTGTGCACACCTTTAGAACACTTCCTTCTTTCTCCAGGGTAAAGTGGAGGTGGAGGTTGGTAAGGAAGGCCTTCGCTTCGAGAATGGAGCCTTCACCTACTACGGCGTCCCAGCCATCATGACCACTTCTTGCTCAGGTATTCCAGTTCCCAAGCCACAGCTTGTTGGGGAAGCAATGGGCTACTGTAGAAAAAAGCTGTTGGGTTCAATCAAGTCTTGACTCCTGTTAGGGACCCTGGACAAGCCCTTTAACTTCCTGGGGTTTAGCGTCCTCTAGTGTAAAATGGAAATTAGACTCATTGTTTATTCAGAGAGTTTGTGGAAGTACATGGTAGCTGATAATGTTACCAAGTAACGAATAATGGTATTTTTTAGTATGAAAAAACAATTTTATTTTTCTTCTTACACTTCCGTTACATTGTTTGGGTTTGGGGTTTTGTTTTTGGGGCGGTTATTAATTTTAGAGATAGGAAGGGGGAGAGAGGAAAACATCAATTTATTGTTCCACTTATTTATGCATTCATTGATTTTTGTGTGGGAATCAAACCTGGGACGTGGGCATATCAGGACAACACTCCAACCAACTGAGCTACCTGGCCGGGGCCTAAATTGTCTGGTTTGGTTTTTTTTTCCCAGAGTTCATTGGTACTGCGGGTGGGATGGAAAAGGAAGAATTCCTATAATGAGGTGAACTTTCTGAATTGCCTCTGAAACACACTGCATCCTTCTGTCCTTAGATAACGATGTGCGGAAGGTGGGGAGTCTGGCTGGATCGTCTGTCTTTCGTATGTATTTCTCAAACCCCTCCCTCGTCCTCCCCATCGTAGCCCTGCCTCAGCCCACGCTGGGGACCTGGACCGAGCGCTCTGAGCCTGGGCTGGGGCTAACACTAATGCTGGCAGCCTCTCTGTAATGCTCTGCCAAGAACACTGCTTCCTGCCAGGTACCCACAGGCCACGGGGGCTTAGTTTCTGTGTCTGGAATGTTTTCTGCCGCTTCTCTGCTCATGTACAAGTGAGAATGTCAGGGAGGGAGGTTGTGAGGGGAGGTGACATTTATCGTCACCTGCCAGGGAATGCAGGTGATTTGTGTGTTCTGGTGAAGGTTGAGCCTTTCTTTCTCTGCTATGATAATTCACCCACTGGCCTTTACTTGAAAACCTAATATGCTGTTACTGTTTCAGTGGGGCTAGTAGGAAGTGACTGCAAGATCTTGGGATATACAAGTGGAAGTCCCAGGCTGGTGCAATATGTTGCTTATCTGCTCCTCTCTCCTCGTTTGCCACATCTCAGCGGGCAGAGAGGTGTCTGCCAGCTGGCTATGCATGCTGATGGCGGGGCTGGCACGGGGCTGCTGGCTGGGTTGCTCTGCCCCTTCTGCACTTTACCTACTTGCTGTTTCCTGCATCAAATTATTGCACTTGTGTTTAGAAGGCATGGCATTCATTGTGATGTAAGTGTGATCCAGGAAGAATTATTTCTCTAGAATTTTTTTGACTCACTAGTCTGACATTTGCATTGCTTTCATCTGTTATTGTTTGCAGTGGCTATTTTGATGCCAGATGGGGTATTTTCTCTTATCATAAAAAGATTTTACATAGCATTTTATGTTGGACTTCTCAGAGGGTCCCACCTTGATCAATCCCTGGCACATGAAAGATAGGTACTGTTTAACATGGAGAAACTAAAGAAGTGACTTGCTCCAAACCACCCAGCAAGTTGGGTGCATTTCCATAGATGCGTTCAGCTGTTCTGACTCGCACACCCAGCACAACGAAATACAGGCTTGAGATCCCTCATGCTCCAGAACGCTATCTCTATGTGGGACTATTGGAACAATTGATAGTGTAATTTTATGTCCTATCCCAGCGTAGGGCTGAAATGAAATTGGAGTGGCTGCCCATACCCAATGGGTGGCCCAACAGGAGTTGAAGGAGATCTGAAAAGTAAAAACCCCTGGTACTGGTACATTAGTATACGTACATAAACCAACAGATCTCCGGAAAGGCTGATGGAGGAAGCATCAGCACACAGAATGAGACTCTGGATGGGTGAGGGACGTGCCGCAGGGCCAGGCAAACCTTGGCTCTCCAGAGATTACCGACCATCACAGTGGTCAAGGCAGAGTAACTTCTGGGATTCTGAGTCTTACCTCGGTATGTTGGCCCTGTTCTGGCTTTTCCAGAAGACCAAAAGAGGTGGGAAGTCTGGGGGGAAAGGGTTTCATAAGGCTCCCCAGCCCACATAATTCAGATGACTTTATTTTAAAAGAAAATATTTTAAAAATAGTAGGAAGATGTGACCTCCTTTCCTTTCTGTCTCTAGTGTTTTCTATCAGAATCCTTCCATTGTATCAGTGAAACAGGAGTAAACTTGTAACTCTGATCTCCCCTTCAAAACTGGTTAACAAAAAGCAAGCATTACACTCTCCCCAACCCCCCCCCACCACTTCTGGACATATTTAGAAATCTTAAGGAGGAAATAATCAAATTAGTCTGTAGGGGTATAGAGACATTTACCATCCTCCCCCCAAGCCCTCCCCACTTACTGGAGTGAAGTGTGAAACAACTACAAAGAATGCCACACCCTCCTGTTGTCCCTGGTGAACATTAAGACCAGGGTCCAGCCAGCCGGCATCTTTCACTGGCCAAGAACCTTGGCCTTAGCCACAAGGCAGTAAACTCTTTTAGAGCCTCACTCCAGCAAACTGTTCCTGTCCTCAAAGCCAGCCTGCAGTTCTATCAGCCTTTGAGGGTGATAAATGGTCTGATGAGTTTGCCAGAACACTAGCCCGGTGACCAATGCTTCAGAGTTGAACTTGAGGTTACAGGTAAGTCACTCTGGCTTTCCTGTGTGGAGCAAAGGGAACACAGCCAGCACTGTCTCCTTTATCTGGGTTCTGATTGCCAGGGAACCAGGAGGACCATGGTGAGCCTGGCACTGGAGGAACTGGGCCTGGGCTCAGAGTAAGCAGAAGAGCAGCCCACAGGGCTAAGCAGGTGGAGAGAACAAGTCTCCTATTGCTTGGCAGGGTATACATTTAATTTGCAGCCCAGAAGTGCCAGGATTCTTCTTAAGACTGTGGGGTTTCTTATTCCAGTGTATCTCACAACATGAAGGGCCTGTTCAAGTATTCTTTGATATTTCTGTCAGAGCAAATGATTATCAGGTATAAAGCTCCTGACACACACACTCCCCTGCATGTCATGGGTCCTTTCAATAAAGCCATCTGGTATGGCAAATAAGACTGCAGAAGCTGCCTGCTTCAGTGCCAGCACCTGCAGACAGGCTTCATTTAGCTCCTTGGAAGGGGCTCAGAATGATCATATAAGAGAGAGGAAGACAGATTCCCATGCACAAACACTGCTTCATCAGGGTCAAGATTAGGGAAAGACTGGAGTATTACTACGTCATCTGCCCAGATCCCAAGAGATGGCCAGTGCCATTTTGGACCCTGTGAGGAAAGAGAGAGAAGGAAAAGGGGGCAGGGGAAGAGGTGTCCTGGAGCACCCGTTCTTGCTACGAAGTGATTATGAGTTAATTCACCAAGTCGATTCACATTAAAGATCGCTGGACAAGCTGCCTGCTCTTCCCATTTCCCAAGCCTCCAGCAACACACAGTACCTCCACAGCACTGTGACCACAGAGGGACCACCTTGGAGTGCCAGGCAGGATACAGCTTCCTCAAGGATGCCCCTAGCAGGCGCGTGCACTTTGCTCTCAGCCCTCTGGTTGGGAAGCAGATACATGTGGCAGCTGGGAGAGCCTGGTGGGAATGCAGTGCTGAGCCCCCAGCAGATTTGCAGGCTCAAAAAGAAGGCTGCTGCGAATGCCTGTTCTTGTCCTTGGCAGGTCTGACCGCCTCTAAAATTACTATGCATCTTTTTGGAAGACCTTCAGAAAAGTCTATTTTCTGTTCCTCTTCCTGGAGAGTGACTTTGTAAGAGGGAGCGTTTTCCAAGTTTTCAGAGGCATGATTCCCTTTTGCAGATAAATGTGATGCTATGAAGATCCCGGAACAGACTGTCTCACCACACTCTCTGTCTCTCTCCTTTTGTGTTTATCTTCCCCTTCGCAACTCACAAATCCTTGGCCCTTGACTCTTTAGTGCCCGTCTCTGTGTCTCATACCTTCGCCTTCAGCAGAGGGGACTCTCTGGCAGGCTCCCCAGGTAAACATGCATGGGTGTCTTGGGTCCCCATAGATCCAGTGGGGTTTGCCAGAGGCCTTTAGTCTCTCCCACTCTCCTGCATAAGAACAGTCTCTCCCAGAAGGCATTCCCTCGCCTGAGGGCCTAAGGCATAGCACAAAGCACAGATAACACTCATTTGCACACAGGGCCCAGGCATTGCTGGTTCAGTGTTGTTGCTTGTGAATTTAGCTCACAGGGCTGGGTCAGTGTATGGAAATAGAGAAATAAAGGGGTGCGAGTTGGTGTGAGCTCTTCCTCATCACTTGTCTGACTCCAGAATGGAGGGAAGGGGTGTGCAGCAGGAGAAAAATAGGAAGAAACAATGGAGTATGAATGCTTTACTCCTGTTTTTCTCCACCTTTCTTTCTGTGTGGTCTCTGCCTTTAGCTAACCACTAACCCATCCTCATTATCTTTGCAGTAATATCACCATGTGGTGACCATATTCCCTCTGGCTCTGTTCACACAAAGGATGCTCCATGTAGAATTTCAGAACAACTTTTCATTAGATTTAACCTCTCATTAATTAAATAGAAGTTACCAGTTTCTTTTTAATTGGGTAAAGCAGCTCCCCATAGAGTTAAACAGTAACTCAAGGATTCAGTAGAATGCAATAAATCTTAACAATCAATTAAATGTTTGTCTTGTTTTCATCTCTAGAGGTTGATCTCTTAGGCTCAGGGAATAAGTAGTGACCGAACCAAGAATTTACTTGTTGAATGGCTTTGGACTTGGAACACAATTTCCCACACCCTTATGTCTGCCTCCCTTATCCCAGGGCTGCGGTAATGATTCTGAGGCCCCACCATATTCTCAGTCATCAGAAATGCAGTTACATTTTGTTATCTGTAAACAACACCCTCAACATTCAAAAAAGCCATATGAGATCTCAGACCCCAATTCTGCAACTTCAGAAGTATTTATGTTGACTTCTACTTCTCCCAAGTCACATTTTCCCATCAGAAACCATCTGGTTCACATGTTTATCTGTACAAGTCAACCACATTCTCAAATTTCACCAAATCTTCTCTCTCACTGGACAGTGATTTTCCACCAAGAAGTAACATCTTTCTCACTTTGCCTTCATGATGACCACAGGACAGTAGGGTCAGTGTGAGATGCCGAGCTGGTGCCCTCGCCAGCTACTCCTGCATTCTGGCAAAGTCAGAAATGACCACATCATGGTCCTGCAAGATCCTTTACACGTGGGGAATCCTGATGAAGGCAGAATGTGCTTTGAGTTTCAGCAAAAGGGATGATGCCCATTTCTTAACAATATTCAACCAAAAAGATCAAAGCATTAAAAAAAAAAAAGCAATGACAGCATGGGGTTACTTTCCTTTCTGAATAACCCTCAGTTAACAACCTAGACAATTGTAACTTTCCAGTTAAACTAAAGATTAATTCTAGTTCACTGGTGTTGATTACAAATACCTTCACAGTAACCCAGTGTGAGAGATTAAGGTGGCTTCCCATCCAGCTGGCTGGTGCCATGTGCTCCTGGAAGCTCTTTTAACTATCTCGCCATTTTTCCTCTCTGTGGGTGTTCAACCCAACAGGAAACAGGTGAGTGACAAAGGGGCGAGAGCAAGGCCACCATACTCCAACTCTTGGTTTAAGTCTGCAGAGTAGAGCCTGACTGACACAAGAGGAGAAAACGAGAGGCAGGGACGCCTTGCTTCTCCTTGGGCTCTTTCCTCCCTCTCTTCTTTTGTCTGGTCTCTGTCTATAGCTGACCGCCAGCCTTCCCAGTGGTTGGGTGACATCCCCAGGACCTATATTATGCTATTTCCACTGTCACTCTTGCTTCTGTTCCATATCAGCAGCAGAAGAAGCCTCACTCATAAGAGTATTGTGGAAAGCAGTCCTGGGTACCTTCTGGCTCATACTTGATTTGTAATCCAGGTACATGTTATGTAAATTATGTCTCACCCCCATCTTGCACTGGGAAGAATATAAATCCTGGAAATTCATAGGGCCTTAAAGTGTAAAAGGAACCCTGTCATTTTATTTGATCTACACAACCACCTTAGGAGATGGGCAGGAATTACTGTTAAGAGACAGTACGTAAGGAAGCAGGCTCTGAGAAACTGAGCCCTTGGGTCAGTGTCACGGGTATAGTAGGAAGATAGAAGGACCTTGCTGCACCTCTGAAACGAGGCATTTTGTGCCCTCTAGAGGGTTGAGATTTGTTTGCATTTTGAAAGCAGTTCTGCTCATAAATATGGTACTCACATTGGATTGAGGCCCATGGTTCCTGGCCAGATATTGCCACCATTATCCACAGGGAGTTTCCTGCTCTCTGAGCCTCAGTTTGAAATAAGGAGAGCAGAGCGGTATGTGGGTGACCTCCAGAATGTGGTGTAATCAGCCAGCTTTGCAGGTGCCTTCAGTTAAAAGTGAAACTTCCGATCAACCCACTGAGAGGATGTGCCCCCTGCAATTGTTACTCCTTCTCCTCAGATTCATTCCTTCTTTCTTCTCCCAACAGCGGAGATGATTTCACAATCCCCCTGAATGCACAAAAGCAGAGGCGGGAGAGAGTTCGGGAGCAAGGTTTCTTTGTCAGTGCTCAGTTGTCCATCTGTGATGTGCTCTGAGATCAAGGAGGATAGAATTTGCTCCTAGAATATATGAGGAGCCCCTAAAAATAATCTTATTACTTTGTGAAATGTGGTCAGTGGAAATATTCCTTTGGGTTGGCTCTTGTGTTGTAAACATTTGGGAACCATTAAAACTCCGTGTAACATGAGCAAGTTCATCTGGGCTTCTAACTTGGACTGATTTGCAGAGTTCACGTTGTAGCTTTGATGGAGAGCTTTTGACATTTGGCTGTCTGATGTTGACTATTAACCCAGAATGATGCATTTTTATAGCCCTAGTTTGTACTCTTCTAGCCTGTATAATTAAACTATCCCCATGAAGTTCAGAGAACACCAATGGCCTGTGGCACAGTGACCATGACCCAAAGCAAGCCTGTCCCCCTGCCCCTCACTGAATGCTCCAAAAGATGTATGTATTCAGTGGCACAGGCAGGCACTGAACCCCACTGTCCCCTGAAATCCCCAGACTGAACCGGGGAGTGGGGATTCTACTGAATTGTGGGTCCTTCTCCTGGGATAGAGTTGTGACCGCTCTCCTGGTACAGGTGTCAAGAGTGAAGCAGGAGTACCGGGGCTGTGCATAGGTTTTCGGGGGCCCTGCCCATTAACACAAAGGATACTCCATGTAGCCCCATACACAGTGGAAAATCTTCTATGCCACCCCCAATTACACCCCTGTGTCTTCTCCCCCTAACCTCAGTCACTCTGGTTGGTCATCTAGGACACGCGTGTCTTGCAGACTGACTAGGCAGAGCCTGCGGAAATGGGGCCTACCCACTTCTCCACAGCACTCAGAGGTCTAGAGTAGAAATCCCTGCCCCCCACCAGCACCCTGTCTCTCTAGGGCCAGCTTGAGGGCTTGACGAGCAAGAGTTGACAAGGGCCGTGTTGGCTGCTTGGCCCCCCTCCCGTAGAGGGGGTCTATGGTCAGTGTCATGCATCGGTGTTTGGTCTGTCCTCCCTTAGACCTCTTTACACTGCAGCCAGGATTTCCCTCTTCGCTTCGCTCCCCAAGCTGTGCCTCTGTGTGCTTAGGAAATGCCAAGGGGAATTATACAACTTGAACTAGTTTGCCATGCTGCTGGGACACTCGTCTGTTACTGATTTCTTCTCCTTTTTTATTAAAAGCATTTCCATGTCCCTCGCTCAGAAACCTCTGCATGCATGGGCACAATTACCAAAAAGCCAAGTCATCAGCATCCCACCTATTGAGGAATGTCAGGCTCTGGGACATGAGAACACTGATCTTGCACAACACTTGGATGAGCGGGGGACTTTCTTTGTCATGAAACAAGGATTTCTTTTCCTTTTTAAAAATTATCTTTATAGACCTGACCTTTGTAAGACAGTTCTATCTTTTAGTGTGGGGAATCCTTTGGGGTTTTACAAATAAACCTTCAATAGCATTGTTTTTACTTAAAAAAAAAAAATAAGCCCTGTGTCTCCCCCCAGCCCAACAGTGGTGTTGTTTGTGTCTGACACGCAGGTCCCTGTGAGTGACAACAGGGTGACACGTCTGCCCTGGGTGTCAGTGAGGAGGAGCGCTCTGGGGGAACTGGGACACTGTATGTTGCCTCTGTGTCCAACAGGGAGTAGAAGTGATTCAGGCAGAACCTTCTATTGGATGGAAGTTGTTTAGTAGATAAGACAGGGCTGTGTTTCCCTGTCATTTTCCTTGAATGCACCTTGAATTGTGACAGAAGGGATGAGGATGAGGACAGCAGGTGCGGGGCATGTGGAGCACATGTCCGGGCAGACAGAGAGGGTTATCAAGGAGCGGTGGTTATTTCTCAGGGTAACTGGAGCTACAGGGCCTGCTTACGTTCTCTCCTCTTGTTTCAAACTGAACTGAGGACCAGACCCAGCAGGTCAGGTATGGTTTTCCAGATTCCACACACAGGCCAAAGAAGCCGCCCTCCTGCAGAGCTCCCTGCCTTTGCCCTAAGAACTTGCCCCAATGCGGCACCATCGGCGGACTTAGCCAGCCGCCACCTTAGAACGGCACAAATGGATCTAGCCAAGCCAAAGCTCATCAGTTTGTTTTCAAGGGACCAGGACCAGAAATTAAATACGTATTTTTCTGCCCAATACTACCGCCATTTACCATCACTTTGGTGCTTCACTCTGTTCTCTGCACAGTCACTGGCCCTTTCAGTCCTTGGCCACTCTAGAGGAGTGGCCAGCCCTCTAAAGCCCAGTGGATAAGTAGACCTGACTCCATGACCCCTGTTACAAAAGCTCTTACTAGACAGACAGATAGAAAATCCTAATGCTCCCGTGCCCTCTTCCTCAAGCTACCGGGCCAGCGCCCGCAGCTTCCTGGTACCCTTTGACTCTCGCTGCACATGGCCTCACTCCCCATCTGTGTTTCTGAAGTGTCCTCCTACCCACAGCGAGCTTCTTGGAGATGTCAGCTTTCTCAGAATGACTTTAGGATGCAGAGGAAAGGTTTTCTGATTCCAGGATGATTTGAGAGCTCTGAAACTTCTTTAAAAAACAAAATTTAGACTTTCAATTTCAAAAAAACTCCTTAGGAGGCTGTTACGTGCTGATTCCTTCATTCTACACATTTTTCTTGGGCACCTACTCTAGGCCGGGCACCATGCTAGGTACTGGGTGTTCAGTGATGACCAGAGAAGACAAGGTCAGTGCCCTCATGGAACTGAGAATTAAATTGAGTAGCTATAACAAAGAAGTACAACTGTGCAATTAAAACTTGTGAAACTGCTTTGAAGAAATGCACAGAGGGCAGTGATAGAGGAAAACAGGGAAATCTTGTTGGGGGGGCCAGACCAGGTCTTGGGAGGACATGGTGTTTCAGCTGAGACCTAACGACTGAGAGGTGAGAGTGGCTGGGGGAGGGGGTAGGGGTGGGGGAAAGGAGAAGAGAGAGCAGGGGAACTGGAATCTACGGTGGGAGATGCTTGCATGATTGAGGACCCGCCCCCCCCCCAGCTGCAAGTAGAGCAGAGCAAGCAGGGGCGGGGAAGGGAGTCCCAAGATGCCATCAGGCGGGACAGCAGAGGTCAGGTCGGGTCGTGGCAGGGCGTTAGGGTCACAGCAAAGAGTGTGGGTTTTATTCAGATTCAATAAGAAACTGATTTGTGTTTTTAAAATGTGCTTCTAGCCCTGGCTGTTGTAGTTCAGTGGACTGAGCTCAGGCCTGTGAAGCAAAGGGTCACCGGTTTGATTCCCAGTCAGGGCACATGCCTGGGTTGCAGGCCAGGTCCCCAGTGGGGGGCATGCAAGAGGCAACCACACATTGATGTTTCTCTCCCTCTCTATCTCCTTCCCGTCCCCTCTCTCTAAAAATAAATAAATAAAATATTAAAAATAAAATAAAATGTGCTTCTGGCAGCTGAGGTGAAAACTGATTATAAATACAATTGTAAATAGGGAGATGAGACTGTGGGCCAGGTGAAAGGGATGAAAACCTTGACCTGAGGCAGAGGTAAAGGCAGCTGGGCTTATTCTGTCGGTGGTGGAGACGAGAGGACTTGACTTGGGGCTGTGGACTGGCAGGGGTCAGGGTGGCTCCAGGTTTCCGGCGTAAATGACAGTCTACGAGAATGACGTTTACTGAGAAGGGGAAGACAAAGTGGAACCCTTAATTCAGTAATCTTATCAAAGCAGTGATTCTTACGGTTCTAAAGGAAAAAAATGATTCGCCCGGTTGTTATTTTAATCTTTCTGAAACACAGTTTGTCAGACAACAATAACAGCTTGGCAGCCAAACAGATCATCCGCCCCCAAGGACTCACTCCAAATAGATGCTAATCAGATGTTTTGATTGACGGCAACATTATCTCAAGAGAGAGAATTAAATTCCTGAGGTTCTACCCTGAAAGAACAAGAAGCAGAATCTCTGAATTATTGGAGTCTTCATTTGAAACCCTGCCCTAAATCTGCGTTACGAGAAGCTGACAGCCTGCTCTTTCTCCTTTTTACGGAGAAATGCAGAGTAGCGTCACTTGGGAAGCAGAGGCCCGGGAGGGGCTTATTCCCAAATGGAGATAAAGTTAGGGTCATCTTCCAAACTTTGCTTCTATTAATCCTGGGGAGGGTAATGCACGTAGTTTACTTTGAAACCTAGTAACACGGTCCTAACTGAACTTTCCCAAGAAGGTGCTTCTTGAAAAATGGAAGACAAAGTGACTCTGGACATTTAGGAGGCCTTATTCTCCCCCGCCCACTAGGCATAGAGGGTGCCCCGCCCTAGTCCCACACTTGAGGGGACCGCACCTTGGACCTCCTAAATCCCGGGCCTCTCTGTGGGGTGAGGAGTTTTCCAGGCCAATAGGACATGCCCACACAACCTGTGTTTTTCCTTCCAGACTACATTTCAAGATACCGAAATCCCAGAACTCCCCATCCAAAGAGGGGGCAAGGGCTCGGTTCTCCTCATACAGCCCTGTTCTCTGGCACAAAACTCTAAGGAGTTGGACCTGGACTTCCAGGTTGTCAAGGACAAGGGCGGAACCTATTTTAACCGTTCACGGTGTGACTGGAATGTGTACGCACAGAGTCTGTGGGCCCCCACGTGCCCTGGGCCCAGCCGTGTGGGGCAGACCCGGTTACTGTACCACAGCACGTCAGTGCAGGGAGGATTGGTTACCTGGGCTGTGACGGGCAAGCTTGAGGGCAGATCCTGGCCTTTCTAAAATAAGGCTTGTGAGGGGAGTCCATACAAAATAACGCGTCCTGCTAGAAGGTCTCACGGTCGGAGTCGAGCCTGGGCCTCAACACCTACAGCCTGGGCCTTGTCTGCACTGTCAGTGTAGAGAATTTTTATGAGTTTATTCGAACCAAACTGACAACGTGCCAGGGAGCAAGATCTCACAACGCCCCAGAGAATGACAACTTTGCACTTTGTTATATACAATGGAAATTAAGGAAGGATGTAAGGGCGATTGCATGAAGATGGGGGAAAGCAAGGTACAGGATAGTTAAGATTATGAGCTTCCTTGAGAGCAGTCACACTTCAGAAAGGTCTGAAAAAGAGGACCACTCTGACATTTCAAAGGTATATTAACCTAGATGCATGAGAGCCATGGATGGGGCTTGCTTAAACCTTGTTGTAAGCCTGGAGTGTGACTGCCCAGTGAGAAATTCAGGGTCAGATCACCCTGTGGGATTACTTTCTGTTGCATGTATTACAGAGCCCCTTTTTTCATCCACAGCACTTAACCCCAAAACCAGAACCAAATAAGGCAACGATACCCTCGGCCCAGCTCCTCCCTGGCTGTCTTGGGAGCAGGAGGCACCTGAACAGAGGGGAGCCATTAGTTGCTGTCCTAAGTGTTTGCCCCCCAAGGAGTAAACATCAGTGGGGCAGCTGGTCATTTCCCTGGGCTCTGATAGGAGGGGAGACGGCCTGGTTCTACCACCCAGGGTAACCATTGCCTTAAAGTCCTGCAGAACCTCAGTAAACAACACCCCTCTTCCCCCCACTCTGTTTTTGGTCTCCTCTCCTTTCTTTACACCCACCCCTCCTTGCCTTTTCTCCCTCCCCCCCCATCATCTGCAGTGAACCGCTCCCCTTCCCGCTGCAGCGGGTTGAACCGCTCCGAGTCTCCCAACCGAGAGCGCAGCGACTTTGGAGGGAGCAACACCCAGCTGTGCAGTAGCAACAACAACCTCTACACGCCTGACTACTCAGTTCACATCCTGAGCGACGTGCAGTTTGTGAAGGTAACTCCCACAGGTGGACCGTCCCTCGATCCTGCTGGCAGAGTTGGCTGGGGAAGAGGGACAGGATGTGCATCCCATTCCTCCATGATCCAAGATAATGTGACGATGAGGTTAAACCTCAGAAAGCCAGACCCATGATTCTTCTCCTGGCTTCACTTCCAGCCCTGCAGCCCTCTCACTGCAGACCTTCCCCAGAGGTGGAGGTAGGATGAAAGAAGGGAAATTCTACTGTGCTAATAACTCTTACTGGTTTGTAGTACTGGGCACGTGATTTGTAGGAAGAGAAGTGGAAAGTCACAGTAGGAGTTAGTGGTTCGAATATTTACCGAATGCCTGCTGTGTGCGCGGCCCTGCCCAGGTGAGTTACTGAGGCGAACAAGACAGCAAGCTCCCGTGTTTCTGTACCTTCCATGCCAACAGGGGAAAGATAATAAATAAGTCATCACATAGATAAAACCTAGGCAATTTCAGGTAGTGATAACAGTTATGAAGGAAATAAACAGGGTGGTGGGATGAACAGTGAGGCTACTTTAGAAATGGTCATCAGAGCAGGCGAGAAAGGGACATTTTTGCTGAGACCTGAAATGGGAGGTTGGGAGAATGTTCAAGATAGAAATGACAGACAGAAAGAGCTTGGTGGCTCGGGAATCTGGGCACAAATGCAGCGGCTGGTGTGAGATGAGACTGGAGCATTAGCAGCAAAGTCCCCTGGCATCTTTTTGGCCAGAGTAAGGCAATTGGATTCTGTTTGAACTGGGAGTTTTTTGTTAGGTTTGTTTCTCAGGTCTTTCTATTTGTCTTAGTCTATTTGGGCTGCTACATCAAATTACCATAGGCTGGGTGGCTTGAACAACTTACTCCTCACAGTTCTGGGGGCTTGAAGTCCAAGTTCTAGGTGCCAGCAGAGCTGGTGTCTGGTGAGAGCCTCTTCCTGTTGCAAATGGAGAACTCTGGAATGAGTGGTTCGATAGAAGGGAATTTGACCGTTCAAGCCCTTGTTTTAACATAGGGCTTTATGTTGGTGTTGTTTTTCTCTTGTTTTGTTTTTTTAATGTAAGTTAAGGTGATGCCGCCAGGGGTGTCCAACCTTTTGGCATCTCTGGGCCACACTGGAAGAAGAAGAGTTCTCTTGGGCCACACATGAAATACCTTGAGACACATAATCACACAAAAATCTCATACTATTTTAAATAAATTCACTTAATTTTGTGTTGGGCTACATTCACAGCCATCTGGGAATCATGCAGCCCAGGGGCTGCGGGCTGGGCACCCCTGCCTTGGACTAAAATTAAAAATCCCCTCCTCCTGACTTAATGGACCCGTGAGGACCATTATGTAGGCTGCTCTCTTATTGACCTCTCCTACCCACCCCCCTTTTCTTTAACATGAAGAGAGTTTTGGGGGAAGCTTTAGGGAAGTCTATACAAAAGGGGTGTTTTCATTGGCTGAAGCCCCTGTGACTGGCTGAGTGAAGTTCTAGAACTGTTTAAGTCCAGGAGTAAACCGACTTCACACTAAGTTACCAAATTAGATAGAAAGGTGTACCTTGTGATTATCTGGGAAAGATATGACAGCTGTGATTAGTAGTAGTTAATAAGTTGTGAAGGTACCAAAGAGTCCTTATGCCTTTTTTTAAAAAACATGTTCTGTAAATATCATTATCACACTAAGAATATTTGGCATAGTCTTGCTGTGTCACTGTGACCAAGATGCCGCATCACCATCTGGTGGCAGAATCGCTAAATTGCAGCATCGTGTTTTCAGGGATGCGAGCCATGAAATGATAGGAGACATCACGCTGGTTAAAAGGCGAACTTCTGGGTGTGTTGGCTACTAAGTCGGCATATCCCTGAGTAATACCAGGTGCTTTGCTGGGCTTACCGAGCGTCACTTAGGAGATTTTCCTGTCCTTTAAGCCAGGAGAGTCCGAAAGACTCCAAAGAAAGCTTCACCTTCAGAAAACCTGTGGGCACATTTAAAACACTGGGTTTTGATAATGACCTTGGTTCAGCTCTGTGCCAGCTTTTTGTCAGTCCTCCAGATTCTTATATAGCCCAAAACTACAAAGTAGCTATTGCCTTTTCCCCTGAAGGACTGTGAAAGGCCACTTAAGTGGACATGAGAAAAACAGCCTAATGCAGGCAGCTACATTTGCAGCATACAGAGTAAGAATGAAGAAGACCCTTTAAACTAAAATATCCAGATTACAGGGGACCATCATTAGACTCTGGAGTTTCCCCTGTGAGAGCTTGGAGTTAGTTGCACATTCTCCATTCACCGTGGCTCCAAAGAGTGAATAGCGGTCCCCCAGGCAAAACCCATACCACGGGAGCTCGTGCGCTGGCTACGATCTGAGGGCCTACCTCTCCCAGACCTCAGGCAAGTTCCTCAAACTCCTGGACTCCATTTTCTTACTCGTAATATGGGGAGTACAAAACCTTGCCTGCCCACCCCGTTCAGTCATGACCAGCAAAGGCGATTACACGTGCCCGTGTGCCCTGTAAGCCATAATGCACTGTGTGAATGAAGGTCCCATCCTCATCTACCAACCTCTGCCTGCAAAAACAAGCCCTTCTGGGTGACGCTGGCACTAGAGCTTTCACCGGCAGCTGAAACCTAATTTCTAGTTCCACCTCTTTAGGGTATTGATAGTAAGTACTTCGAGTAAGATTGCATATGAATTCCAAAAATAAATAAATAGTCCAATTGTGTTTTAAGTTAAAAATTGAATAGAGATTGTAGACCAAGTTGGTGAAAAAGCTATCAGGAATGAGTTTGCTACTGAAAGTAAATAGTAAATTTATCTTTGAGCTTCCTGGTCAAAAAAGGGGGGAGGAGGAAACAGCGGATCTTTGGGTTCTTATCCAATATAAGGGAGTGAATAATCACCCAGAGAAAGGAACTTCTTTCTGGCAGTAATTTCTTTAAGGATATATCAGATGTGACCCCTATATTAACTATGGAAGGCATCAAAAAATACATATTCACTTCATGTGTGGTTTTGCCAGTTTATGGCGGTTTCCTATTTCAGCCTTTTATGCAAACTGAGGGTCCCATTCTTTGGGTCCCCACTGACTGATCCTTGGGAAGAGGGCCCTTGGCAACTAAGCCCGTGTTTTAAACGTCTCCCTGGACAACCGCCCTGCCAGCTGAAGATGCCCTCTGTCCTCTGCAGGGTCTCAGGGGAAGACTTAGCTCCTCCAGGTACAGTTTAAGAGACCGGAGCCAATAAAAATGACACTGGTGGCAAACAAGCAAAGGGTCCCTTCACTGCCTTCACTCCCTGGCTTGGTAGGGTTTGGGTGAGACCCCCAGGTCACGGGCCCCGGCCAGAGTCCTGGGTTCCAAAGCACCCTGGTGGGGCTGCGTCTTAGCTTGGGCAGGCAGGCCACTCCTAGGGAGGGCTCGGCCCGGCTCCTCCTGAGCGTCCGCCCCCTCTGCCTCTTCCACCCAGATCACACGGCAGCAGTACCAGAATGCACTCACCGCCTGCCACATGGACAGCTCACCCCAGTCCCCGGACATGGAGGCCTTTGCTGATGGAGACTCCACCAAGGCGCCCACGATCCGGGGCACGCCCCAGACCCCCAAGGATGACCCTGCCGTCACCCTCCTGAACAACAGGAACAGCCTGCCGTGTAAGTCAGTTGGGCCGATGGGCTGGGCTGCCTTGGGGTGAGGGCAGCCCTGCCTTCCTCCTCATAGCTGTCCAGAGCAGCCATCTTGTCCCCATGGAGCCCCGGGCCTTCTCCAAAGCAGAGGGGTGACACTCGCTGTGCTCCTCAGGCAGCCACTCAGATGGGCTGAGAAGCCCCGGCGAGGTCGTGTACCTGAGGATGGAGGAGATGACCTTCACCCAGGAGGATGTGACAGACTTCGAGGAGCACAGCACGCAGCGGCTCTCTCTGTCTCCTGCAGTGGTTCCCGCAAGAGCAGGTCAGGGAGGGTAACAGGGCTCGGAGGAGCACGGAGGTCATTGCCATCAGGCACTGGGTGAGGGGACCCTGGGACCCTGGCCCCTGTGTAATAGGTCCTGGCTGTTTACACCACCAGGGAAAGAAACTATCATCTACTAAGCAACTACTATCCATCCTAATTCATTCTCCTGGGAAGTCAGTGTGTAGGACAGTTAAGAGTGAGGCTTCCACCTGGGTTCAAAGCCTGGCTCCTTCACTTAGGAGCGAGGCAATTTTAGGTAAGTTACTGTAGCCGAAGGTTCAGTTTCTTTGTCTAAATGGGTAAGTTTCTTTACTTTAAAAAAATACAAATCATGGTAACTAGCTCATAAAGTAACTTTGAGCATAGAGATAACATAGAGAGAGAGGGCACATCCCAGTGCTTGGTACCATGCTCTTTAAATATTACACAGTTATTGTCAGACCTGCTTTAGAGATCAAGACATGGAAGTCAGCCACCACTCATTGCCAGGGCCCTTCCCTTCCTCTGAGCCCCAGAGACCAGAAGTAACCTTGGGACTTGTCCTGAAGTCTGAAATCATGTCACCTCCCTCCAAGACACTGGATGCCCCTGACTTGACATGGTGTTGCTCCAAGCTCCCAGCCTCCCAACAGTCCTGAGATCCCTCTGTTCTTGCCCAAAATATACTCCCCCAAGCTTTCAGCAGCCCTTGGTACCCACTCCCCAGGTTTGCAGTTACCCCATCTGACCTTTGTTTGAGATCTGCCCTGGGCCATAGTCTGAGGCCCCTCAAGTTCAGAGCAATGACCTGACAAGTGCTGGTAGATTTTCAAAGTCAGGGAGACAACACGTGTCAAATTGTAGCTAATGCAGCAAATCTGGGACATATGTAATCACTGGCCTAGGACCCAAATTTAGAACAACTGATGTTCTTCTCCCACACACACTGAATTTAGTAGCTAAAATATGTAGCAAGAAATTGTATCAAAGGAATGAGAGTGGAGGAGATGGGGTAGTCTTCGGAGATTATCTAATCCATCCTCCTCTGTGACACAGAAGGACCCTGAGACCTGGAGAAGGGAAATGGCCCGACCGTATACTGCATTAGAGGAGGCTCAGCCCCCCGCTCAGGGTACAGTGCAGTGTCCACCACACCACTTTGTCTCCGGTTTAGGCTCTTCCCACGTTGGCTGTAGGAGCCTGGGCCCCTTCCTGGCTGAGATTTCTGACTTCTCACTGGGTTCAGTGGGAGAAAGCCTGACATGCACTTTATTGTTATTGAGCCCTGCGATTTTCCAGTGTCTGTTCAAACAGAGAAAGGAAACATCCCCACTTGTCCTCCTATGTGCTTTCTGTGTGGCAAAGATGCGGAGTAGAGAACATCTTGTTCTCTTCTTTCCTCTGCCAAACAGTGTTTGAATATTTGATTCTGATTCCTGTTCTGTCTCTTCGTTCCTTTTGTGGCACTAAAGTGCCCCTTCTTCCTAGGCATCCCTTCCTTGTTAGGACCCCTGCTGACTTAACTCTGGTTTTGAACTTTCACCTGCTAAGAAACATCAACCAGAATCATTCCACTTAGATCCCTGGATGTATAGGTTGGAAAAACCTGTGTCCTTTCTTCTAACCTCTCAGCATCAGATAGTGAATGTTGCAATATCCTCCTGGATACAGAGACCAGCCCTTGCAGTAGCGACTTGGAGGAAACCGTGGGCAAGAAGCTGCTGAGAACCTTGAGTGAGTAGTTCTTCACCAAGCCGAAAGCTACCCACCAGCTGGTTAGTAGAGAAAGCATGTTAGGATCTTACTCATGGAGGAGAAACCATTGGCTCCCTTTGGGACCCCTAATGAGGTTTGGTCATGGAAATCCATCGTAGGGCTTCAGCTGGTATCTCACCCTTGATAATTTGGGGATCTGTCCTATTCAAATGATGGTTATCTAACACAGAGAGAGATCTGCAAACCGTGTCCCCAGGCCCACCCTGATCACCCCCCACCTGTTCTTGTAAATACTTAATTGGGTCATAGACAGACCCATTTGTTATTTACGGCCACAATGGCAGAGTTCAGTTATTGCAAAATGGACCATAAGGCCTGCAAAAACGGTCTGCTTTTTGCAGATAGTAAAAAACCAGTATTTACTATCTGGTCCTTTAAAGACATTTATGTCCAGGAGACTGATTAGAAAGGAGAGCAAAATCTACCAAGGAAGGAAGTCGATGGCAGAAGAAAGGTAAAAAATGTTCTTTCTAAAAACAACAGAGCTGGGAATAGATTGCCCTTTTACCCCACCCGCCCAATGCAGGCAGAGCTTCAGAGCTAGAGAATGTAGGTCCCTGGGGGTGGTGTCCAGCTACACCCACCACCGTGGCTCATGCGTGGGACAGCAAAGGGGGGAGGCCAGTCCTCTGTCAGAGGCTAGGCGGTCGGTCCTGCTGAGGATGGGAAAGGCAGGATCCCAGGCATGACGTGGGCCTTCCTCAGTTCTCTCCAGGAAAGTTCCATGCCATTGGCACTGGCCTGGGGTTGTGGCTTTTTAGAGCTGTCATCTCAGGTGGAAGGTGCATCCTCATCCTTCAGGGTGTACATATTCTGATATCAGCACCAGGCAGGACACAATGCAGATTCCTTCCTGCCAGACTATCTCCATTTCTGCTCCTGTTTTGAGGAGGACAGTATGGATGTCCTCCCAGTCTTACAGATCGATCCTCACAAACTGTGTTTTTCAGGTGGTCGAAAAGGGAAGCGGTCACCTGATGGAGAGAGAGCCTCTGAGGAGAACTCCAATTTAACACCTTTGATCACATGACAGGGGCAGACATCGTTCGCTGAGTGCGTGAGATTCCAGAGCTTTGGGGGAGAACCCACCGGCCCATCATCTGCTTCTCCCAAGGCCTCCCACAGGTGACAGAGCGCACTGCTCCCCTTACCACCTCTTCACCCCTACATGTCAGGTTGGCAGACTTTCCCTCGTTGCCTCCAGTTTGACTCAGAGGCTTGCTGTGGCCAGAACGGAAGGAGGTGGCTCCAGGGGGGAACATGTTAGAAATGGTCTTGTCCACGGCACAGTCTGGACTGGAGAAGACATGACCCCAAGCTGACATTGCCACTTGGGGACCTTTGATGCCCTTTTTGTTCTTGAGATCCCCTGATGTCATATTTCATGCTTAGCTTAGCTCACAGGTGCCACTGAGAGACAGGCACAGAGGAGGCTGAAGTAGCAGGTATGCAAGTTAGTTCAGAACTAATGCACCAAGGATTCCTCCAGAACTTGAAGGCAGCGGGATCAGCCGTGTTGGCATGTAAGGTAACAGCACAGAAAACGGTGGGTGGTTGGTTTCCTGTTAGATGAGGGTTCCGGCAGTCCTGAGGAGTATGTCTCGGCTGGAACGGAAAGAATGTAAGGTGGAACCTCAAGTCACTAATTTTCCCAGGGACACATCTGCTTTGGCTTCCCCTCACTAGTTACCAATCCATCAATAAATCTGCCCTGGGAGAGGAGGGACAGGGAGCAGAGACACCCAGTTGGGAGCCAGAGATGGAACTTCAGGTTTTAAAAATAGAAGTAGAATATATATGGAAAAATTCTAGGCTGTTGAAGCAAGTTCAGCCATGACAAACCAAAGAGTGCCAGGTCAGCCAAGAAGGATGCGAGGTCTCATGGGACTTCAGTGTGCGTTACACAGGAACAGTGAAGAGTCTCCTCTTTTCCATCCATTCCCCCCACCCCTACCCCTTAATACATCCCAGCAGGTCAGCCATGTGCGCTTTAATCCAAGAACATGTTAGATCTCTGGTTCTCCTCCTGGATGTGGGAGCAGATGCAATTCAAAGCGTCACCATCAGATGGCAGGATGACCGCACATACCTACTTGAGTAAACAAGTTCTACTCAGGACTCAAAGCCAGCCTTAGGGAAAATGTGGATGTGAAGGTTGTCTTTGGGACATCTGTGTCCCTTTCTGATCTAGGTCCCTGATCCAGGGCTACCTGTTGAATCTCCAGAACATTCCCTAACTTTTCCTTGGGGGAGACCGCCAGACTTACCTCCCCTTCCTCCACAATCCGGACATTCCCATGTGCTCACCCATTCCATCCATAATCACATGGGTTGAATAATCATATAATAATTCCTCTGGGTTATTTGCATCTCAAAAGAAAATGCTTACCCACAGGAACCTTTAACTCAGGGGTTCTTAACTTGGGGTCCATCACCCCAAGGGGTCCACTGTTGGACTTCAGAGGGTCCATGAAATTTTTAACATTAGGAATTTAGTGTATGTGTTCTTATGCGTGTTTTCAGGAGGGCTAAAGCTTTCATAAGTTTCTCAAAGCCCACAAAGGGTTAAAAACCACTATTTTAACTGAAAGGGGAACTTTCAGCCCAGGGTTTCTGCAGTACAGAGTGAAGTGAACACTGGAAGTTTGAGACAGATTCTTAGTCGTAAGTGGTCTTCGCAAGTGTCCTTGAATCAGTGGGGAAAGCTGGCACCCATCAAGAAGTGGTCCTCGGAAATTCTGGGCACAGCCTAGGCTGTGCACAACCTACACCCCACATAGCCTCATCCCCCTCTTCTCCGCCGAACCTGAACCCAAGCAGCTCTGGCAGCCAGGAACATGTGGAAGTAGACTCTCCAGCTGGGGGTACCTTCTCCAGCAGTGTATTATTGACTTCACATCCCTTGCCTGGCCCTGCCTGAGGCTCAGCAGTGCATGACTTCTCGTAGACAGCTACCACCCACCTCCAACACCTAATCTCGCCTGGTAGGAACAGGCCTTGTCAAGCCTTCTCCCCCCACCCCCGTGCTGACTGCCTCAGGCCCAAACCAGCAAACTGTAAATTTCAAGCAAGAAATGTCATCATGCATTCTTGGTGCCCAGGTGGCCACTGACCCCAGGGGGCCTCTCTGGCCAGTCTTCCCTCCATTCCCACGCAGGCCACTGCTGTCGCACTACATCCAGCCCTTTGCAGAATCCCTAAGGAGCCTGTCACCACTCCCTTCCCTGTCCCCCAACTGCACCACCCCACATTTTCTTCAGGTTAAAAAAGTTTTAAAAAAAAAAAGAGGATTGTAATTTTAAAGTAAAGCATCTATGAAGGCTTCATGAATTGTAAATAATTTTTAAATAAAATGAAAATGCTTTTCCTGAAATGTGACTGTTTTCCTTGCCCCTGAATCTCAGAGTTCTGGAGTAGTTTCATTTGAGATGCAGGTTGGATGGAGCTGACAGGTGAGGATCTCACCTGGGGTTCACCTGCCTGAAGAGGCTTGTTTTGAAGACCAGGTATGAGATTAAGGTTACAGCAAAGTGCTGGTGCTCTACTTTGGGAAGCCAGATGGGTAAGATTTTGCAGGAGCAAATGCCAGAAATGGAAAGTAAAACCCAAATGAGAAGCCAGAGTGTGAAGGAGGGCAAGAAAGAAGCACTAAGACAATTACCTGTTGAACCCATGTGATGCATGACACACTGGTAGGCACCTTTCAAGTTCAAGGTCTTGGGGGCTGGATCCAGCCAACCCCTTGAGATCACATGCTAGTCACAATGGCTTGCTTTTGCAGACTATTTGGAGAGAAGCCACAGTGGCGCGACTCCAACAGTTTCCCACCAAAGGCTGGGGAAAGGAACAGGGGAGTAAGCCAGGCTAACTGGTCAGTTTTAAACCAATGCAGCAGGGAGGGAACAGCCAGACCAGTGGGAGGGTGTGTTAGGTAACATTTAACATCTTTGTTGTGGAAGGCAGGCTGGAATTTGACACCTGCGGCCAATCTCAAACCAGCACTCAGGACGATTAGCGTCCTGTACCAGGACAATTTAAGATTCTTCCCAGGAGCTTCCATAGAAGCTGTTAACTTCATTAACAGTAAAAAATAAGCAACAGTAACAACTATTTTGCTGAGGGCTCTAGGTGCCAAGTCTTGTGCTGAGTATACATTCGCTCATCTCTCTCAAAAACTACCCTGTGAAGGCCTTAGTCTGTTTTGTTTTAGTTGCAAAGTGGGCTCTGAGCGTTTAGGTGACTTGCGCAAGGTCACACAGCCAGGAAGTGGTAGGGCCTGGAGGTGTGCCCTCCTCGAGAGCAGGCATTTGTGAAGTAATCCTCTCTCCAAAGTTCACAGGACACAGCTGCATGTGGAAGGCCCTGAAAATCCTGCAGCAAAGAGACCTACCATGACTTAACAAGCCCAGTGGTTCCCAAACTTACCAAGACCGCTTTTTTCACGGGAACACACTGACCAAAATGTGTGTAAGAATAGAATGAAGGCCGAACTCCCATTGAGATTAAGGCTTTTTCTTTTCTTTTTTTTTTAAAGATTTTATTTATTTATCTTTAAAGGGGAAGGGAAGGAGAGAGAGAGAGAGAGAGAAATATCAATGTATGGTTGCCCCTCATGAGTCCCCTGCTGGGAACTGGCCTGCAACCCAGGCATGTGCCCTGACTGGGAATCGAACCGCAATTGTGTGGTTCGCAGGCCCATGCTCAATCCACTGAGCTACGCCAGTCAGGGCTAAGGCTTTTTCTTAAGCACTAAAAACATTTTAGTATGTTGGTAGAGGCACTTTGGTTTAAAGAAATGTTTTTTAACCATTTTTTATTTAGCTACTCCCCCTCCACAAAGAGAAACTAAATACCAATAGATAAGATTTTGTCCAATAGGACTGCATTGGAGGGCCACAAACCATTTTAATAGCTTACTTTTTTTGCCCCCTGGCAGGTAATATCATCCTCGCTGACAGCTTTAAACCCTGGTTTAAAACTATGCTTTGGGAGTAGAAGATTGGCAGGTGAAATCATTTTCCTCCCATTCTGCCTGTCCTCCCATTCTGCCTGTCCTCCCTTATTAACGACAAGCATCGTTCAGCAGGAAGGAGAACAAACACTGACAGAAAAGAAATGGAAGATAACAAGGAGTTAAGAGTGAGGTCAAGTCATCACTTTTTTAAAAACTTGCTTAAAAATTTATTGGGATGACACTGGTTAATAAAACTATATAGGTTTCAGATGTACAATTCTATATTATCTGTATGTTGTACGTTCACCAAAGTCTCCATCACCATTTACATTTCATCACTTTAAATCCGTTCTCCTCACCAGCCCAATCACACACTTGCAGTGTTCTCTGAAGTACCCAGTGGGATGGTGAGGGATTTGGAAACCGTATCCCGGGTAGGAACACTGAAAAATGGGGGAAAGGAGGAGTTTCACATAGAGAGGCAAAAACTAGATATAACTGCTACTTCAAATATTTAAAAGGTCATCGACTAGAAGTGCCAGTGGATTTAATGTCTGTGGTTTAAAGGAATGGAGGAAGGAGACCAGGGAAGTAAAACAAACAGATCAAATTCTGGACCAAGTAAACAACCTCTTTAATTAAGGTGCTCCATCCATAGAATGGGGATGCTTCACCAAGTGTTAAAAGAACCCACCACCACCAGCCCCGTCCCGGGTTGAAAATGGTAAGTCAGGGACAGCATGGAAGAGATTACGGCACTTGGGGAGAAAGGCTGTAGTTGACTTTGAAGACCCAATTACCCCTAAAAACTGTATGATTTTCTAACAACTCAAAGGCATCCTAGAAAGGGGCAGATCCTGTTAAAATAACAAGGATTATCGTTCACTATTTTCACACTCAAGACTCCAATTCTACAAAACCATCAGGGGTGAGTCCCTTGCGCTCTGGAAAATGTGATCTGTGCTGAAGGGGCTCTAACAGACCAGGAGGTAGTGGACTGCACTGGACGGGACTGTGATCCAGAATCACCCTGAAGGGTGTCAACCCTTCTATGAATCCATGAAGTCCAGGGTCATAAGTAATACAAAGAAGACAGCTGGTCTCTGCAGGACAAGCCCAGGTAACTGGCCAGAGCTGTGGAGCGGCGCATTCACTGAGAAGCCTGCTGCAAGCACGTGTTAGTTTTTCCTTTAGCAACTAATACACACATCCTTCTACAGCATTCATTTTAATCCATGGGTTATAACCAATTAGTGGGTCACAAAACCAATTCCACGGGTTCTCAATCAGCACTTTTATTTCTTCAGTGAAATGGTACACAACAGAATAGAATGGACTAGAAAATAACCAAATGCATTGCACGCAGAAGGGCAAATACCAGTTTGTGAAACTTTTCAGTTAAATGTGTGCACGTGTGTGATGTAAATTAATTTATTTCTTACTTTGGCTGCCCTAAAGAACTAAAGCTTGGGGCCAGGGACACAACCATGCGGAAGGAGCAGGGAGACAGACACTCCGGGGAGTGATGATGAGTTTTAATGACACAACACCCACAATCACACGTGGCTCTTCAGACACCTTGAACTTTGGGACTAGACTTTGTAGAGTCAGGCAACACACAGAAGCACACGAGCGACACAGGCAAGACTCCTGTTTCTAGCGAGGGGGCAAGATATCTACATCTCATGATCAAAATACCGTTTTGTTCTTACATAGAAAGCTCTGTTTGCTCTGGCCTCCAAAAGGGCTCTCATCCCAGGCCCACGTTTCTTTTCAACAGATGCTCTCTTCACGTGGGGCCAGTTTAGGCAGTGGCCACCCCTCCAGAGCAGACTTTCAGTCCCGCAAAAGTCTAATTAATCCATGATATATACAACTAGGTGTGTGCAGGCAGGGATCACTCGTGACAGGACCACTTTGGTGGTGCTGGTTTCGTAGTTGCTTCTTCACTGGATTTTGGTGACTGCTTCGTGGATGGAGGTGGCCACATAATCTATATTTTTGGTGGTTACGCCGCACATGTTGATCCGACCACTTGGCAGCAGATAGATGTGCTTTTCACTGATCAGATATTCAACCTGCTTGGCTGTTGAAAACCGAAAGAGACATGTAATCACAGTAGGAATCCTTTAAGCCGAGAAGGTTCAGTGATTCCATGACAAATAGTTTTCCTTCTTTCCCCCATCACATAGAGAAGCAAAACGGAAGGAATTATTTTGTTCAGTTGGTACACAGGGAAATATCCTCAATCAGTTCTGGAAACTAGGCTGACTAGCCAACTTTCTAATCCCCAGAAAGCTCCATATCGCTCCCCCTCAGGGGAATTTTAATC